TCTAAAAGCTTAGGATGCTCGGAATGCAAGAGATCCGGATTCGACTCCCGGCCGAGGTAATATTTTTCGCAATAAGAATTAATTATTTACAAATTTTAATTACAAATTTTTTACAAAACAATTTTATTTACAAAATTATTTACAGATTTTAATATGTTCAACATTATTAAGATCGTTTCAAAGATGCGAATAAATATAAAAAATTGGTTAAATTGCTAGTCAATTTAACTCGTGATATTACTGTGGTAATTTAGTAGAGTTAGTTTAGTAGCGTTTCAAGATCGAAAAATCATTTCGATGCGCGTTTCTGAGGATATGCATATGTAGTATATGAATTCACACAAAAATTCATACAAATATTAAGATCCAGCATTAGACCGTTTAAGACTTTGATTTCTAGTTTGTATTATCACATATACGGTCCTATAATATATTATATTGAACTTTTTTATATACATAGCAAAAAATAACATTATTATTCTGGGTGGTAACCTTTATCTTTTCTTTGTGCACATGTATATCTGTTTAAATAAGATAATTATACTTAATACAGCCAATAAGTAGTGCAATTTTTGCTGAGTTCGACATTAAAAATTAAGGATCAAATTGAAAATAATAGGCAACATTTTTAAGTATTAATTGAAAATGTAATACATTTTCAATATTTATGCGAATGCAGTGAAGATTTAACTACCATTAAATATTTGACTACCTTCAAACAGCAAATAGATCACATTAGGTTATCAGAAGCAATTACATTTTCAGCAATTATATTTTCATAATTATTTTTGCAATTGTGTTTACTTTATATAACCATTCCTTTAAATTATATTTATTATTATTTTTATGCGCAACACATATATGTAACACATATATGTAAAAATTATAAATAAAATATTACGATATTGACTTGTTTTGTTTTCTGATTATTTAAAAAATTTGGTATTTGTGGAAAAATTTACTTTTTTAAAAAATATTTTATTATAACAAAATTTATTATAACAAAATTCCAATTTGCAATTTAATAAAATTACTAGAATTAATTATCTAAAATTTTTTAAGAGTTGTGAAAAATAATAATCTTAATTTTTTTTTAATAAATTGATTGTTAAAATTATCAAAAAATCTGTATATCTATTGTATAATCAAATATCCAATCAAATTCATTTATGTATTTTATATGTAATTACTACATAATCTGAATAACACTACATTCTTAAAAAATAAAAAAATGTTAGCAAGAAAATATTGATATAATCAATTTTATACGAGCGAAATTAGCTAATATAGTATCATATAGAATTCGCGCATTCGTAATTGCACCTATACATATGCTACATCATTTATTATTGATTTTCGTAGTTTATACAATTGATATACTCTGTTTTCGGCTCATATTATCCCTCGATTCCTTTCCAAATCTCATATACTACAACCAATATTAACAAATTAATTTCTGGTAATTAAGTTAAAGAAATTAATAACCTATTTATATTTGCATTAACCAGATAATTCACTTAGTGTGTAATATTAAAGTTTGTTATTAGTAAATTAATTAAATTGATTATTGATAATATATGATGCATATGTATTTTACACAACAAAAAATTAAAAAATAAAGTCGGTTATATATAAACAGCGAGAATCACTTGTAGCATAATGAATGAATTAAGATTTAAATAATAATTTTAATCTAATAAATTTCTCGGATAAAATTAATCATTTTCGACGACGCTAATGGATGCACAAGAAATAAGCGATGGTAATCTGTCCAATGATATTAATTTTAAATACAAAGAACAAAATGTTCAGCATATTTTTAATATATAACGTATCTTTATTGTTGAATATTTCATAGTGACGAAACGAGTCAATTGATATATGCGATTCTCTTTTTTCTGCCAGCGTTGACATTCTACAAATTTGGCACTCCACCATGAAAAGCAAAGAGCACGATATTTTGGCGTATATTTACTTTCCAATACGTTAAATACTTCAGAAATAGATTGGCATACAGCCTTGATGTTTGCATTGTAACGTACATACAAAGCGCGATGTAGCGTACACAAGATCGCCGAGTTATCATTCGCCCTTCGACACTCGAGTGAACGGCTAGCCGCTCTGCGTGTTGCGTATTATCCTTCGAATCGCGATCGTTCCTCATGAACAATTAACAATTACCGAACTCCAACATCGCGATTGATTAACTCTCACGGTTAGCAACTCGATAACGGCATCACGGCTAACAATGTCGATTTATTGAAGCAGACATATTTCGCGCGATTCAATCATTTAAAATAGAAATTGAGACAGGACGTGTCCCGAATTTTTCACCAATTTAAATATCATTTCTCTAATACTATTTCCAAATTGAGAGCGAACTATCGAGTCGAATGATTCAAACAGAAAGCCATTATATCATTAATAATATTTCACGTATTTTGCGGAATTGTCGGATCGCGTTCGAGTATGTTGAGAATGCCATGCAAATGCCGCGTGATTACCGTACTCTGAATTAATACGCGCGCAATTGTGATTAACAGCATTTCCATTAGTGTCATGTTGAGTTTGTGTCTCGAAGATTCCTGAGAAGAGGAAAAGGCCTAAAAGAGACATCGTTGACCGACGACAGAAAAAAAGTAAGATAAGTATACATATAAGATGAGTATACATTATTCATTATTTATAAAATTAGTGGGTTTGCGTCATTCAGTTGAGTGATTTAAATGAC